GTTCACCTATTTGTGTGGACCATTGCTCACTTCCTAAGGCAGCCATTCCATACTTTGGAGCAGGGAGTGCATAATCAGGACCAGCAGCTTCCTCCTCTTGCTGCTGTTTAGCTTCCTCAGGCTCCCTGTAGAAAAACAGATCCACCTGCATACAATGTCAAGTATGAGAACATGCAAGCAGAAAACATCCAACTCATATCAGCTACAAGATAGTGTTTCTCTTTTACCATCACATCCCACTTTTGTCCAAGAGCAATTGTACCACGCATCTGAAGAACCATCCTTGCTAACAGCCAGAAGAGACAACCAATGCTGTGCTTTCCCTTGTTATTAGCAGGAATACCAATGTCAACATATAGGAGATAAATCAAAATTTAGGAGATAGATCAAACATTTGGATCCCAAACTCAACAGCCTCAAATCTTCATCTCCCTAATTAATCTTAATCCATTCACTAAACCACTGTAATTAGAAATAAAACCTATCTCCAACTCAGTAAACTTTCAACTGTCAATAATTAATATCCTGCAACAGTTCAAGAATCCATAACAAAATAAATCAAAATTTCACCATACTTAGCCCCTGGAAAATATGCATATCTACATTGCCTCGACTAGACAACAATCACAAGCTGCAATATATTCAAAACAAAAGGGAAAAAAATGGTGACGTAATGTACAATGCCGGGATTCTCGTGAGGACCTGTTTTATACATTTCAACATATTTGCCCTTTATAAAGAGGAAGTGAAGATGGCAGCATTCCTGGCCGATCAAGTTGACTCCTATATTATACACCCAACAGAAATATTCAAAAATCCCCTTCTTGTCCCCGCCATGGTTGATGCTTCGACTATGCCCATGTGTATGACCGCCGCTATTGTTGCTGTTATTGTTGTCGTTGATGCTGTTTCCAGTGCTGCCATCCGACCCTTCTTCCTCGTGTCCTCCCTCACCTCCCGCCTTCTTCAACAACCCAATTAGAAGCCTTTTTTCTTAAATCATAAAATTAGATTTCTTTTGATTTGATTGAGAGCAGATCTAAGGGAAGGAAAGATAAGCAGAGAGCGGTCAGAAGGAGGGAGAAGTAAAGGCAAGGCAGGGCAAGGGGCCGGGGACGAGCCTAGGGCGGGAAAGATTGAAAATTTGGGAAAAGATTTTGGGAAAGAGTTGGGCATGTAGGCCCAGTCATACAGTACTGGACATGGGTTTCTTATTAGATAGTTATAGATTCAATAATTATTTATAAAAATTATTGGTACTCATTATATATTAATTAATATTATATATAATACTATTTTGTTGTTTATATAATATATATTGTTTATTAGTTATTAA